AAAATTTCGATTCAGATCGTCGTCTCCGTATCTGCACATAGTCGCGTTCGATATTTTACGATTGATTCTTTGCGCCAAACTACCCTCAATTTCGTATCATTTAAAAATGTCTACGATTTTTAGCTAATATCAAAGTTTGAAGCCCCATAAAGGTCACTTACAGACCTTTGCATTCACTTTTTTTATATTTTCCTCAAAGTGGAAAAACGCTATTGGCTGTACCTGTACTTTGCCGTCCGACCGTCACACGCACTATTTCTACACAACTGAACCGATTTGGGATTGGGCGATATAGGGCTAATTTAAGAGATGTAAGGATCCTTTGGGCACCGATATTTTAGCACAAAAGCCCTGGGTATTTTTTTCAAAACGTATATTTTAGAAGGCCAACTTATACAATGCTTTCTGATTTAAGAGATTTAAGATTTAAGCTTTTGAAATAAGAATGACCGATGTCATTATAATGCACAATCATTTGTTTCACGGCTTAGCCTACTCATTCAAACCTAGATATTAAAATGTAAATTTAACATAAATGCTACAAAATAAAAAAAAAAAGCACAACAGATGATTATGCATTCTGACATCTGTCATTATTTTTTTTAAATTGGATGGCGTTCAGAACATATAGCCTAATTTACATTTGGCAAGTTTACTGGCCGACAGTACTTTCCGCCAGTAAACTTGCTTATGACAATGCTGTTTCGCCTGTCCTTGTATCTACCCACTTGTCATGTGCGGTGAATGAGCTCACTAATCAAATCGAAGATGTACAACCCGACCGTCAACACGAACAAAAACACCATGTACTTTTATTTAATTTTTATACCCGGATGCTTGTGCATTCAATGTTATATCAAAATTGTTTATCCACACCCAATTATTAGGTATATAAACACAAAATCAAAAATATTCTGTTTTGGTTCCAAATTTGATAACCATATTAGCAGAAAGAATAAAAACGTTTTGCAAAAATACAGAAAATCCAGGCCAAACGTGTACTCCCGGAACAAGAAAATCACTTATCAAGATGTACGTTGATCCAATCACAGCACAAAATGCCATCACAAACCCAATAAATAATACGCATTTTGCACAGGAATTGTACTCGTTTCCAAAAGGTTCCTCAATCGCTTGTATAGGTACCATATTCACAATACAAAATGCTATTGTGGCTACTACTCCAGGCAGGTAATACATTCCGTTTCTTGTTATTATATCCGAGTAATTCACGTGCGCATCAATCAGTAACCACCATCCAGTAAAAAATAGTAGTCCGCTTATTGCAGCAGCGTAAAGATTTTTCTTGAATGTTGAACATTTTTCTAAACAATCAGTGCAAAGAGATGACATAATCATGTTGACATTACAAAAAACAAAATTAACACAATGGTTCGGCGCATTTTACGAGGGCAAACCTTAGACCATATAGTACATGGACTGCTATTCGCCCTATGCTTTCAATACAAAATGGATGGTCACGAGTAGAGGGCACTGTAGTCGTGGGTATGTGAATCTCAGGGTAAACTAAAGTCGTGTAAACACCACTAGGATCGCTTAAAGAGCAGCTTTATAGTAACCGCGTAGTACGGGAAGCTTTAAATACTCTTCATTATTTACTATACGTCCTCAAATAAGAATAAGTCTGCTTTTTTTGGGATATCTAGGCGATTAATTAATTGACGTTTGTTAATTTATAGGTTGACAGTCTCAAATCGTGTCTAATCGGACAACTTCGGACAGACTCGTTTACCCTGAAACTCACATACCCAGGCGATGTCCTTGACCATATTTTAGTTACAATCAGAGACTTGCTATAACTAGACTGCGCGTAACGTATCTAAGGTGTTGTCGACACAGTATGCAACACACAATGCACCGCGGGGCAAAAATCGCTGAGATGATTTATGCAATATAATGAAATAAGCTGTTATTTTAGATGTTCCGTTCATTAATCATTCTCGTGATTAGCTCGAATTAGTGAACAGATAAATTTCTGTTGAGAATAAACCAATAAACTTAGGTTAACTTGTGCGTATCAACATGTACTCTGTCGATACATTTTTAAATAATATGCTGATTTTCAACGGATAAAAGTTTAAAGGGCCAATGGATCAGAGCCATTCGAAGAGGAAAATTTGCTCCCATAGTGGATTTGCGGGGAATGAAGCCGATTTTAGAAAGGTACCTACGAAGGTGTTAAACAATAATGCAATACCGAGCGTTTTCGACTTTCCCATTCACTTAAAATGACGTAGAACTACATCCTTTACCAGCAAGACAACGGCAATACCTATTTGCCTATTAGGTATAGACGTAACTAAGTACTTACTGGTACTAAGTATATTTCAGCTTTTGTTACAAGAAAAATAGCTAAGTCTGTTAAATGTTCCATATGTGCAGATGCGATATTCGCATCAGAGAGTCATTCAAAGCTTTTAACTAGAAAAAATCGTGGAGGATTGTTGCACGTATCAAGCGATGCATAAAAAATTTGCCAAATTGCTGAAAATGTGTTCAGGTTTTTCATTCAATCCACACCACACCGCGTTGTAAACAAAATGGTTATCAGCAGTCTAAGAAAAATAAATAACAGTTACAGCCCATTTGGGTTTTTGGATAGGCATTATATTGAATCAAAATCCGCTAAATAATCATATCTTACTACTTACATCTTTAGTTTTAAGAGTATATTTTCCTATACGTGTTCACCACCAAAATACACATATAAATCAAATTAGGACTAGAGTAAGGCAGTTATATACCAATTTATTTCAAATAAATACCAATAAATTCGATTAAAACAGTTAACAGCTAATAAACATGGCTAAAGCAAGCTACAGAACGCACGTCTGCCCCGCGATGAACAGTTGGTTGCCTATCCTATCTTGACAACAGGCGTTTATAGTAAAATCTACGTTACGCGCGGTCTAGTTATAACAAGTCTCTGGTTACAATTAGCAGTCCATGTACTATATGGTCTAAGGGGCAAACTTGTGTTTATTTATACAGGGTGCCGTACTTGATTGAACACCATACTGCACTCTATTCGCGACTTCGACTAAGCGCACAATTCCACGATGGCCATCGTTTCTGTTATGTAGAATGTGTGTTCATTACGAATTAGAAGTATTGCAATTAGTGTGTAATAAAATAATGAACCACAAACGTTTACCCCTTAGAAATACCATGTGATCCGAAATAACTTGAGGTCAGATTAAAATTGACGCTTAAAATGTTTATTGTTGTTGTACCACTCGCTCGTTAGTAGTACATTCGTAGTACCACTGGTTGGTATATCCAGGGTAGAACCTCTAAAAGTATATTTTTTACAATTTGTATTTGGTTGCACTTTATCTATTTTTATTTATTGCTTATTATGTTTCAATTGTTTGAAATTTGTGTCACGATGTTATGTGATGAAAGTTTTAATTGTAACATTCGCTAGCACGGATTTCCTCTTTTTTACCGTAAAGTGCTTCAAGCACAATGTGGGTAGGACGTCACACGTGTTAAAGCACCACGTCAAACCTAAATATTTCATTTCTATAAATGATATCAAAATGCGGTTCGGGTTGTCGTTCTTAGGATCTCTTTTCTACAATTTTTGGGGCACTGCTTTTTAAGAACCACCGTGTAAAATAATAAGACGTGCATAAACTCCTTACCTTTAGTATAAGCACAAATCGAATCAAGCTTATGGTCGATGCAATGCACTTACGAGAAAAGGCACTATAGGCCCAACCTACCATACTTCCACTAGCGGAGTCTTATGGAGTTTTCATAGGAAAATCGCAAGTCAAACCGCAGTAGAGGACGAAATTTTCTACAAAATGTCTATCTATTCTATTCTTCTTCTATTCATTTCGCAAACATTCTGAGGATTCCCTATTGTAGACTTTGCCCCCGCATAGATTTGCATAATGTACTACCGCTGGCTGCAAAACATTTAAATTTATTGTTTTTACCTCCCTCCATATAGAGGAATATTTCAGTACGCATATTGTTTTTAATTCGCGACATTAATTTAAATACCTTATTAATTTATTTTGAATATTGTTAGTCTTGTACCTATACTAACTTCATTGTCTTTGTGTACTTTTTTTTATTGTGTCTTCTTTTCTGTAAATTCACGTGTCAGGTGATATTACGAATAAAATTACATATATTACAATTATGAGTAGGCTTTTATAATTCTTTTACGCAATACAGTTTGCGTGAGCACGCAGCTTCTGCTGCAGTCAATACTTGTACACATTTGCGTCTCGCATTGTTCGCACTTTGAAGACCCGATATACCTACAAACAATTCCCTTTTCTGCGCAAATGAAAGACGATGTAATTTTGCATAAAAAACTACCTATTCGTTAAATAAGTACCTACATCTCGTAGTTTCAGTAAAATAATGTTACTGATTATTGTTGCACGGAAATGAGTGTAAGTGTATTATGGACGTTAATTTTGTTGTGCCTGTGGTAGATAGACAAATGCAGAGCTGTACACAAGCGTAAAGACTCCTCGGTCTCTCAGCATAACAAGAACAATAATAATAATAGACAACACTTTGCAAGCCAAATACTGGGCGATCAAAAATGAGTTGCTGTCGAGTTATCTTTGGAACTTTTGTTTATTACATAGGAAATCGTAGTTAACTTGAACTTCCAAAGGCGACTCGACAGCAACTCATTTTTGATCGCCCGTTATACCAGTCCAAAAAGCATTGCAATTGAAAACCGCAACCATCCTAATTTTATGCACAAAGAACAAATTTGCTGTGGCTAGTACAGATAGCTCCCGCACCTGTTATGTTGGTACGTACGACGAGGATGGGATGAGGTTAGGAAATCACGTGGGAAAATGGAATATACGCCGACACGCCCGAAGTCCTAACAATTCGCAGGAATTACACAAATCACTGGTCTTACACTGGTTGGATACCTAATTACATCTACAAATACGGAAAATTCACGCTGAGATATCCTTAAATCGACTTCATTACGAGTTTACGTGCTTACATACGAAATGACGGAACACATACAACCGCTTCTGCAATCCATGACCGAGATTTTGACAAAAATTCAGGAAACGCTAGCTCAAATGGTTACCTTAGGCCGACCAATTCGACTACAATTTCGGTGAAGGAAAACTTGCACCCTTATGACGAAAATCACGAGACGTTCGACTGCTATTTACAAAGGCTCGATAACCACCTACAACTTAAGAAGATCGATGATTCAACCGCGGAAAGAGATAAAACCTACGTACAAATATTGATCAGCTGTCTTAGTCCGAAGATTTACCAGACACTTACAAAGCTTACGGCACCTGATCTACCAAATTCTAAAAGTTACAAGGAACTCATTAAAATGCTAAAAGAGCATTTAGCCCCACAAGCGAGCATTATAGCCGAACAGCACAAATTTTCATTACGTACACAACATGAGGGGGAAACAATTGCTAATTACGTGGCCGAATTACGGAAAATGACTACAAATTGCAACTTTAAATGTGAAAACTGTAGTAAATCGACTATCAATACGCATTTACGCACTCAATTCATACGAGGAATTCGCGATAGTGAGATACGAGAGAGATTACTGCAGCAGAAGTCAACAGCCACATTCGAGGAGATAGTACAGATCGCAAATTCGTTGGAAATGTCGAAGAAAGAAGCAAGTGAGATGCAGAGAACTGAGTTGGAGGTACATGCATCCGAGTAAAAAGTACACTCCTGGAACCCATACAAGCTTTACGCCCGGGATAAATTCTGGTAAGATTCAGGGATTATGGGGAAAATGTTTTCGATGTGGTAAAACCGACCACAAGGCTGATAAATGTTACGCAAAAAAATTTATCTGCAAAAAGTGTGGGAAAACAGGCCACTTACAGGCTGTTTGTCTCAAATCGATTGGTAAACCCCAGGACCATAAACAGATCGAGAATTCAGACTACAATTCTGATTACGATCAGGAACCATTTAACATTTACAAAATCGTTACGATAAATTCAATTAATACGAAGAAAATCATGTTACCAGTAAAATTAAATGGCTCAGGCTGTCAAATGGAATTGGATACGGGGGCAGCTGTGTCCACAATTTCCGAAGCTAAATTCAAGACAATTTGCCCCAATGCAAAAATGAATCCTACGTCAGTAAAATTACGAACGTATTCGGGGGAGATATTACACCCAATTGGGTCTTCTGAAATGAGAGTACAGTACGGAAATCAATCTACGCGCGCGAATATCTACATTCTACCTCTCGATGTTGATACGATATTTGGGCGTGACTGGTTAACTGCGATCAAAATCGACTGGAAGGATATTCGGAAAATCGAAATGGCCGGAAACCCACCAGAACGTCAAGTTTTACTCGATGAATTCAAGGACGTCGTTACACCTAAATTGGGAAAAGTCCCTAATTACGAATACTCTATCAAGTTATCGGATCCTGATACACAGCCTATTTTTACGAAACCTCGTTTAGTTCCTTACGCACTAAAAGGCAAGGTCGAAGAAGAATTGGACCGATTGGAAAAATTGGAAATTATTGAAAAAGTAGTACATTCCACTTGGGGTACACTCATAGTTCCAATCGTGAAAAAGGACGGCACCATACGTATCTGCGCCGATTTTAAGGGAACTATAAACAAGATAATTAAGACGGGTCGCTATCCAATACCGAAAATTGAAGATATTTTCAACAAAATGAGAGGGGGAAAATACCTCTGTTGTCTTGACATACACCAAGCTTATTTACATATGTCAGTAGATGAGGAAACGTCCATGTTACAAGCAATCAGTACTCAAAAAGGAGTTTACAAGGTAAAACGCCTGATGTTTGGCGTAAAGACAGCTTCAAATGCGTGGCAAAGATTTATGGACCAAACTCTTCAAGATTTGGACGGAGTAGTCTGTTTTTTTGACGATATCGCAATACAGGGAGGAACACCCGAAGAGTTATTGACAAAATTGCGACAAGTTTTAGAGCGTTTACGCCAATTCGACTTGCATCTCAATGGAAGGAAGTGTCAATTTTTTAAATCAAGTATTTCATATTTAGGCCATAGAATCGACGGTGATGGTCTACACACAACTACCGAGAAGATTGAAGCTATTGCTAATAGTCCATAGCCTTCAAATTGATCAAAACTGAAATTACGAGTACAAAAGTTTTAATGCCTTTCGACGAAAATTTACCTTTAATTTTGGCTACGGACGCTTCACCAACAGGGTTAGGAGCGGTTCTTTCACACATCTTACCCGATGGCACCGAGAGACCTATAGCTTTCGCTTCAAGATCTCTTAGTAACTCAGAGAAAAATTATAGTCAGATCGACCGCGAAGCAACTGCGATTTATTGGGGAATGAGGAAATTTTTCCATTATTGTTACGGTAGGAAATTTACTTTAATCACGGACAACAAACCTCTTACATCGATTTTACATCCCAATAAAGACCTACCAGCTACGTCAGCGGTGAGACTTTTGCACTATGCCAATTATCTATCCGGATTTAACTACGATATCAAGTACAGGAAAACTGAAGATCATGCTAACGCTGATTTTTTGTCCCGAATGCCCCTGGCAAATACGTGCGATATTGCGGACAGCGCTTCGATTTTCCAGATTAGTCAGCTGGAGTTTCTTCCTGTTACTCGGAAAGAAATACAAAAGGAAACGACGAAATGTCCCGAACTGCGACAACTCATACTAGCTATACAGACGGGAACACCTCTTCCTGACAATCGTAATATATCCGACTACACCATTCAGGATGGATGTCTTTTCAAGGGAATCCGAGTAGCTATTCCAGCGAAATTAAGGAAACCAATTTTGGACGAGCTACACGCAGCTCATACTGGAGTGGTAAAGATGAAAGCGTTGGCCAGAAGTTACGTTTGGTGGCCATCCATCGACTTGGACATCGAAAGGCTTGCCCGAGCATGTCTGAGTTGCAGCCGATATAAAAACAACCCTCCCAAAACGAACACTCACCCGTGGGAGTACGCTACATCTCCCTGGCAGAGGATACATATATCGATTACGCTGGTCCGTTCCAGGATACAAATCTTTTAATAGTTGTAGATTCGTACACGAAATGGCTCGAGGTGATTCCAACTAGCTCTACCACGTCGGGAGCTACCATTCAGATCTTACGAGAGATGTTTTCACGTTTTGGGTTACCCGTAACCCTAGTCTCGGATAATGGCAGCAACTTCAAGTCCACAGAATTCCGAGAATTTCTCAAAATGAATGGAATTAATCATAAAGTTACCGCGCCATATCATCCAGCGACCAACGGCCAGGCGGAACGCTACGTTCAAACCGTCAAGAAGAGCCTGAGAGCTATGCAAACCGAAGGAGGTAGTTTCAATCTCAACCTTTGCCAATTTCTGATACAATATCGGAAAACACCGAATTCGACCACCGGGGTCAGCCCAGCCGAGCTGATGTTCAAAAGAAACATTCGTACTCGAATTGACCTAGTCAAAACAGACTTAACTTCAGAAATCGGAGATAAGCAGCTTCCAAACGAAAAGAGCGAACAAAGGTTCGAAGTCGACGATCAAGTGCAATACCGAACCTATGGCGATCAAGCTCGGAAATGGAAGTATGGAACGATCACGAATAAAACCGGAGATCTTCACTACGAGGTAATGAACAATGGTCGAACACAACGTCGACATCTCGACCAACTTCTTCCGTACGAGGGAACTATACCTCATGAGCCGAGCGTGGTGGTACCCGAAGTCGAGGAACTTATTCCACCTCCAACAGTACCGGAGGAAATTCCGATCGAACCTATAACTTCGAATCCTCCACCTGAGAGAAGCTCTGAGGGGAAACCTCCGAGTCCGATACCCGTGCGACGATCTACCCGTAAACCGAAACCTCGGAATCGGATGAATTTATAACCTTACGGGGGGAAGGCTGTTATGTTGGTACCAATAGGCGAATGCGGCCCAATACATGTCACCGCAGCAAACGGCTTACCCGGATTGTTTTGGAGCGTATGTATCTACTACTTAAAATATAATGTAATCCTAATACTATTTTATGTACAGTGTTTTGGTAACGTAATAAAATAAATTCAATATAAGGAACCCGTGCAATTACTCGCATACACAACAGCAGCGCAGTTAAAAACTATTACCACAGTATATTTAAATCTGTGCTATTACTAATAAATAAGGCCGCTTTTATGGAACTAGTTTTATCCTTCATGGTACTCTAATGAAAGGTCTCAACAAAAGGAACATTTCTACCAACCATAGCCTCCTCCTCGACCTCTTATCGTGATCGAGTATATTCCTTTATACCTTAAGAACGGATTGTCGGAAGAGGGTACTCACAAAGCACGATTGAGACGTCTGCAAGAAATATATCCATTGGTGATCTTATCTTTGTCTGCATAAGAGTTGTGGACAATTTATACTTGTTTACTCATAGCTTGCCGAGAAAAAATCCGGCGTTTGTAGATGAAAAAAAATGTAACTTTTGTTTAGCGTTTTTTTGTCGGGTTCCGCTTTCAGATAGAAATTATTAAATATACAGTGCGTAAATTTTAATTCGGAACATACAAATCTCCTATGTTCAATTCTCAAATAGAGGTCAAATACCCCTTAAGATATGCAACCAATATTACTACTTACTTACTTCCATTATCCTTAAAATGTTTTTCGATAAACGTCAATATCTGAATTATTTATTAAATTACCTATTAATAAACTATATACAACAAAAGAAAAAATGGAAATGTCACAGATGTATTTCAATAGGTTATTGGATGCTACACATCTCCATAAGCCAATTCTGCAAGTGACACAATTCACGATATCATTAAAAACTTTCATATTGATGGCCGTCTTGTTAATGAACAAAAAGAATGCTAGATTGGGAGATAGTAACTTCTTTTCTTGTATCTCTTGTAAATTCTTTCTTATTTACGTTTCTATTTCGTTATCGACCGAATACGTATCTACCATAGACAAATACTGTGTACAAGCTGGGTTGCATAACTGTCAGGCATATCAAGGCAGTGGGCGCGTTCACCACACCATTATGACCAGACGAAGCGCTATCTAAAAGCGGGAATACTCCAGCAAGGTGTCTCGCGCTAGTTGCAGTCTGATAGCACTGTCGAAGTGTACACACACACACACCACAGTAAGTTGGATGTACGTTGGTTTTTACACCTCGACAGTGCTATCAGACAGCAGCTCGCGCGAGAAACCTTGCTATATTATAGAGTATTCTCGCCTTTAGGTAGCGCTTCACTTCGTCTGGTGAACGCGCCCATTGACATGTATATTTTAAAATTGAACATAAGAGCACAGATTTAAATATACTACAGATGGATCATGAGATAGGCGATTGTGGAAACACAACAAACGTTCCAGTTGCTAGCGCACCTATATGAATTTTATTAAATCGAAAGTTTTAGTTTGCGTCTCAACTTAAAATAATCAGCAGGAGTCTGTATAACGATGGCATAGAAGGTTGTTACTATTGATGGTGCTGAAAAGCAATATGATATGAATTTTTTCTTCGTAATTAAAACAATGGGTCTTTGTATTGTGTGTTTGTGTTCAATTACGACCTTGTGTGGGCGTATCTGTGGCCGTTCTCTCTCCTTTAATTTAAATTAATAAAATCCAAGAACAATTTCTTTCTATACAAATAGAATGGTAGTTTCAGTTTCAGCCTGAAAATTAAAATTCTGTAATCAACTACTATCAATCGAAAGTTTTGATATGTCTATACGTTGATTCAAGGCATCGCCAAATGAAATTGAAACCAGGTGTAAAATTCTTGCAGAACAGCTTTTTATAACTACTCGAAAACTTCACTCGTTATCTGTTTGTTTATTTTAACTTAATTTTACTACCCGCGTGTCAGTAAGGGAGGTATTGCAGTGGGGTAAAAAATGACCCCTCCCTTTTTTTACGGGAATACATCAAATACATGTTTTGAGGCACCAGGAATCCGAATCAAACAAAATCTCGATGATGTATACAGGGTGATTTATATCAAAGTTGTATTTTTTAAATAGAACTCACCTATGTTATTGCATATTTCGATTACTTGGTCAATTTTAGTGTGACTTTATTTACACATGATATCTAAAATGAGTGGCTGAGCGTCATTTTTTCAAAAAATAGATGTTCAGTAAAAATTGATAACGAAGTTTCTATAAAACTTAGAAGGCCATGACGCTGCAGCTTACCTACATACGCCGAACGGTCAAAGTTAAACTTTTTTTGTGCTAAAAGAAATCACTGTAAATTTTCAGAATTTCAATCAAAGATAACTTGATTTTTTAAATGAAACTACCAAGTTTTTTATTGCATCAAATGTAGGATTTGATTACCTTTCTAACGATATAAGCACGCCGTATTTACCTTTTATACATATTTTTGTAATTCAACCATTTCTAATAATACACAAGGTTTGTCGATTTTTAAAGCCTCTCAGTAATTAATAGGCCGTTACAAGTTAAAACACCTATTCTAATTATAAAACAGGGAGTTATATTTAAAAAAAGTGCAACTTTGATATAAATCGCCCTATATAACAATTGCAATTTCGTTGAAAATATTTTTAGGTTGTAGCCTGAAGAGTCCTTCAATATGCCCCGACAATGAATTTTAAATATTCTTTTCAAATCCTAAGTATTTTATTTAGTAACCGCGCCCTAAGCTGCTGTATTTCGGAAAATTTCATATATATATTTTTTTGTAATAAAACCAAATTTGTGTAGGTTAAACCAAGAAAAATAATCTCTTTTAAAAAACTAAATAAAAAATTTAGCCCTACTATGTATTTGAAAAAAAAGTTTATTTGTAATAAAACCTAGCATAATTTGTGTAGGTTGTACACAGAAAAAGAAAGTCTTCCGAATAATTTAATAACAATTTTGGGTTATTGCTATTTAAAAAAAATAGTATGACGTTTATATCCTTTATGCCTAATCTGCCAACGTATGTACGTACATAGGTACATACGAGTTAAAACAGACAGTAAAATTTGTATTCTTTAAAAGTTGCTTAAAATGATCTAAAACGTTGACGTTTGATGAAATTTTGATACGTCCAAAAACGGTAATCGCAATATAGCCACCCCGCACTTTTTGACAACCCGTACGGATTTACTACTATCTCAAAATATAAAGTACTTTCTTCACTATTTTGTTCCGCATTATCATGCAGCCTTAGAAATTCATGACTATACCAAGAACAGAATGGTTCCACGTACATATCGTGGAAATTGTAACGTCTACTGCGGTACTTCCCCAACATAGGGTCTGAACTGGGATGCGACATTTTCGATCTCACAGAAATTTGGTATCTGCGTCTCTTTAACAGAAAAATAACGAATCCAAAATTGTTTTTGAAAATTCGAATTTTAACTGCAATTCTGGACCAGATATAGGCCTACGGTAGTTTTTAGCTCATTTTTGCAAAGTAGGATCGATATCAAAACTCTAATTGCATCTTCATTTGTTCTTAATAGAAGCTTTTCATATCACTTTGGCCGGCTGACTGGCTGGTTGGATGGCTGCCTCGCTGGCAGCAAATGAGGGCCTGTAGACAATCGCATGTAGAAAGACGAGGAGTGTACGTGTCCATACGGGGTCGTGTAATTAACAACTTTAGGGACGGGGCTACATGATGTGGGGACGGCGACATCTGGGTGCCATCCCCACGCGTGGTTTACTAACGTGGTAATTGGTGGTTTTTACTATCTTCTTCTACAGTTTTGGTCGAGGTCGAACCCATAATCGCACGTCAAGATACAATTTCACAAGTCGTACGACAAAACCGTATAATGTGAATCTTGAAATATTTGGTTATGGCAACTCGCAAGTCGCAAGAGAAATCGTAATCAAAATCACATAACGTAAATTGCACTTACCTATAAGAATCCCCCATTTACACGCTTCTAACTTGTATTTGAACTGACCAGTGACCCAGTGGCGGATTTACATACCTATAGGCACACTAGGCACGTGCCTAGGGGCGGCAGCTTTAGGGGGCGGCATTTTTTTTGCATTATATTTATTTTAGGTAACATTT